AATGGCATTAAATAGTGATACAATATGGCCAATAACAGAACGACCAGTATATTTTACATGCTCGTTTGAAATACCATCTGGACCTGGTGATTTGTTGTTTTCAAGACGTTTCACGGTATCAAGTGCCTCATCTTTAGTAAACTGTCGTCATTTACAGGGTTATATACAACATCTTCTACAAACTTATCAACGTGCTCTGTAAATCCAGTATCAAAGCATTCTGCATTCTGAGGCAGAGAGATTACATACACCTTCCTGTGTGCTACAGGAGTCACCGTTATAAGTTAGACTTGCTCTCTTTTATGTTTTAACTTTTTTGTAACTCTAAAGTACTCTTGGATGTCTACCTCAGCTGCTTGGTAAATTTCATCAAATGTTTCATTTCTGTAACGTTGCTTAGCTGAACGGTGGTTTCTTCGAAATGCACGTTACCTTGTTTATATGCAATAAAATAATTGTCATCTCAGCTGTGGCGTTTTTTGTTAGAAATCCAATGTTTGCGGCAATTACGCATATGATCATAATGTGTTTAAGTTCATATTTCCTCCAGTATGGCTTTAATTGTGCTTGGAATTTGGAAGTAGGAATTGCAAGTATAGTTGCAGCATGTAGACATTCTGTGATATAACTATACTCGATGTATTTATCAGGAGATGAAACATGGGCAACATCAACTGTACATTTCTAAAGTAATTTTTAGTTTCATACCGATATAGCATAAAATCAGTACAACTTGCTTTCCGCCAGTTTGGACGTTCACCGTTATCAGCGTCCATACTGAAACATACTAAGACAGGGCTGTGATCAGACACAGACTATGGGACGCTTGTATCTACGTAATAGCCTACAACACTGCTGCGAAGTTCAAGGTTTATGAACACATAGTCAATCATACTTCCAACAGTGCCGGATTTACTCCTAACCGTGCATGTACAGCTGCTATCGAGTGGTACAATTGAAATAAGGTTACGCGCTGCGAGAGCGCGTGCTACAGTGTTTGCCCTACCTTTTAAGGAACCCTGTACACAGATATGTACATAGGAAGCGTGTTTGACACATTTTCTTATAAACGTATAGTCTATATGTAAATAAATGTATCACATATTGATTATGTGTTGTATAACGAATTTCACGAAGATCTGGTATTGTAACAGGGGTGCATTCCAAGAACAGCACAGGGACATAATACTGATGTATGTGCTTAAATTGTATAACGTATAGATATTATTACGCGTATCGGAGTACTGTGCTGTTTCTAATTTACAAAGCTCATGTTGCTAAAAAATCCAATCCATGTGAGGCGACTGAGTATACCTGACCCATAAAGTCACAACGACGAATGAATGCAGTAAAGTGAAAAAAAATCGAAATGTATTTCTATGAAAGCATAGCCGTACCTATGTGAAGTCTTGTAGAGTTTCCTGTAAAATGAATAAACGATCAGTGAACTCGCTAGAGTGAGAGAATCTATACTACGTTCTCGCACCGGTTGCAGAGATACCTTTGAGGATATACCAGATACATTGGCGATATTCCATAACATTGTTCTAGCTAAGGGTTGGTGAAATGGTCGCGTGATTACTGGAGTTGCTTAGCCACGTGCAAGTCCCTGTGTGTACGTATTTGCATGTATGTATGCGTTTGTGTGTGCGTGCATACCTGTGTGTCCGTGTAATTGTGATGGTGATTTTAACATCAAATGTTCTTGATCATCTGAATATTGTATGAATGTGCTTTTAATATAATTAATTAGTCTAAAACGCTTTCAGTCCAGGCAATTTAAAACAGTTAAGGATTTGATCATTTTAGGCATAAAACCCGTTTAAATTTTCGGCCAAGGATTAAATGCTCTTTATACTCCTGAAAACAGACATCTTCTAGGGGAGACTGAGGTGATATTATATTATTACTAAATATAATCATATAGATCAGGACCTTACATTTTGATAAATGTTGATAATAGTCGATACATGTGTGTGTGTGTGTATCCCACTGCCTACAGTGGACATTTCACAGCCACTGAAAAGAATCATCGTTGTTGTACCATAAGGTATTCTTGTAATTGTGGATGAAAAGAATCATCGTTGTTGTACCATAAGGTATTCTTGTAATTGTGGATGAAAAGAATCATCGTTGTTGTACCATAAGGTATTCTTGTAATTGTGGATGAAAAGAATCATCGTTGTTGTACCATAAGGTATTCTTTGTAATTGTGGATGATGAAAAGAATCATCGTTGGGTTGTACCATAAGGTATTCTTGTAATTGTGGATGAAAAGAATCATCGTTGTTGTACCATAAGGTATTCTTGTAATTGTGGATGAAAAGAATCGTTGTTGTACCATAAGGTATTCTTGTAATTGTGGATGAAAAGAATCATCGTTGTTGTACCATAAGGTATTCTTGTAATTGTGGATGAAAAGAATCATCGTTGTTGTAAATTCATAAGGTATTCTTGTAATTGTGGATGAAAGAATCATCGTTGTTGTACCATAAGGTATTCTTGTAATTGTGGATGAAAAGAATCATCGTTGTTGTACCATAAGGTATTTTTGTAAATGTGGATGAAAGGAAACAAAAACAAAACTTTTCTGTGATGAGTGAAGCAAGAATCAACTAGAATACCAATCTACGTGCCACTTGCCCTTGAACAGTACAGGGAAAGATTAAAACTACTTATGAACCATAGTCAGCAGGACTTTCATTCGAATAATGGTTTTAACTAGGATACTATCTCAGTTTAAAAGCAAATCAGGGATAGATAATTGCAATCCACTAATTTTGATCTAGCTGGAAATTAAGATATCCTTACTGCGAAGCACAGCTCTCAAATTCGGTCATAAGGAAATATGATTCATTCAGGAGATCGTATTTCACGTAGTTATGGTAGAATTGGTAATACATGCAGCTCCATCTGAAATCACAAGAGATAGAAGCGACAAAACCCTTTCCACATCCACACGAAATTTCTACTAAAACCAGAGTCGATTGTAAAATTCTGACTGTGTGATATACGTGTACACTCCAGGACGTAGATACTGCGTTAGGTTACAGCGTGTGTACGAGGGTCGGTCAAAAAGTAGTCGGCCTAACTATATTCTCGATGTCCAATGTTTGAAAAGCTTCCATTTTAGTTTGTAGGAATCATTAGCAAAGCCGTATAAAAAAATTCACATATGTGGGTTATGTGATTAACGAGATAATAGTCAACACAATACATTGGGGTATAATATTTCTAGAAAAAATGCAGAAAATGAAAAACGAACCGTCATTTAGTACCTCTTGGATAATGGTATGCCCTCAGATAATGTCATATAAAATATGTTAGTATAGTGTTGGATGACTTCCCGTCATAATCAAGAGTCAAAGCTTTGGATTGCTTGATTCATATATAGTCGGGGGCTGTTTCTTTTAAGGACGCCCCATTTTAGCCTTTCAAAAACATTGTGTACCGATATTCAAGCTGTCCCTGTTTACAATATACGGAGAGTTGACACTTGTGTGACCATTCAGTATTTACTTTGAACCTTTAGCATCATGTGTGAAAAAGTGAAAACATTAGAATAACTTATGTCCTTATGATTTCGTCGTCTGAACGGGGGTGGGTAGTGTCTCCAAAACAAGCTGTTTCAGTAAACATGAAGGGGGAATCAATTTTACAAGCGATTGTACTTTCAAATTGCTTTTTTATGCACTTAATATCTAAGTTTGATTCTAGAAGTGGACGTCTACCTATCTCAAACACACAAAATGTTTCTTGCATATTTTGTTACCTGAAGTTTGTGGTGCATTTATTGCAGATTTTGCGCTTTTGGGGGGTACCAAGATAACATTTCAAACAAAATGGGGATCGTAAGGCTGGAACCGTGAGGTTGACAGATAATATGTAGAAAAATAAAACATAAAACAGCTGCATTTGTAATCATTTTACTAGGTCAGGCCGACTACTTTTTGACTGTCCCTCGTATGCTACTTACTGCCATACATTAATCCGATTCAAAATAAATGGAAATAATCCTGCATTACTACCTACTAAATGGCACTGCTTTGCAAATTTTATCTCATAAATATTCATATATGCATCGAATATAGGTGAACGCGTTTTCATTCGTCCTCCGCCACTGTGCTGTCATGCGCAGTGGGAATTTCGATTAGAAGGACATGTATATATTTCGCGGCCGTCAACCCCACAAACACCAGTCGGCAGCCAGTGTTGAGCATCACCACTCGTTGAAAAAGGTAAAATTTTCGGAGTATATTATGTTGCTCAATATTTTATGCATTATGGAATATATGAATATGAATCTTCATGTGATTAATGGTGGATTATGTTCTGAACGTGAAGGGCTGATGTCATAATTGACATGACATAGTACAGTAGTAGTGGTTCTCTCATCTGGCTGACCTTCCACTGCCAGGATGGTGATATTGTTTTATTAGACCTGTAAATCATTCCTTGACGACGATATTAAGGCCGACTTGCAGTTTCTCTTTCCCCGACAAGTGTTTGTGATTCTACTGCCAGGATGGTGATATTGTTTTATTAGATCTGTAAATCATTCCTTGACGACGATATTAAGGCCGACTTGCAGTTTCTCTTTCCCTGACACGTGTTTGTCCTTCTAGTGCCAGGATGGTAATATTGTTTTATTATACCTGTCAATCATTCCTTGACGATGATATTTATTTAAAGGCCAACATACAGTTTCTGTTTCCCCTGGCAACCAAAGGAAATCAAATCACACTATATTGGGGTAAAAGCAAACGCTCAATGTTCAGCAATGCACCAACATGAAAATCGTGTTGGCCGCTACATCTCAATGATATGTGAAAACCCGGTTAGGTTGGATAACACTAAGGGCAACCATACTCTGTCACAAGACATTTAGTTGCCTTCCGTTTTCCAACAATTTCGAGCATAATTTTATAAAACACAATTATTCTGATAATTTTCACAATCTGCTAAAAATACAAGTTAACGTAAATATATTCTTTCTGCAGCCAAAAGTGCAAGAAGCCTTTGTCTTTTTCTCTGTGTGGAAACATTACGATTTCACAACAATGTTCACGGTCCTCTTTTGTCTCCCTGCCCTGTCTATGTCTCCCCTGTCGGTGCTCTCGGCGCCCCTGAAGATAGAGATGCCCGTGCTGTACAGAGGGGACATCACCCTTCCACCGAAGGAGGGAGGGACGAGAGTGTTCTTCATACTGGAGCTTAAAACAACAGTGGCTGAACTAAACTGACATCAAGGTTCTTGTTTTCATTTATATTAGTGGGGGCATTGAATCAATGAATCACTGCGAAGACTTTAATGGATTAGAGCCGCACTCAGCAATATTCCAGCTATATGGTGGCAGTCTGTAGAAAATAATCGTGTCTGGACCACCAGACAATCCAGTGATCAACAGCATGAGCATCGATCTACGCAGTTGGGATACTTAGAGAATAAATCCAACGAGTTACGAGGTGATTACGGGAAATATGTCCTGAGTGAAATTAATGTTTACTGATTTGAAAATGGAATTTCATCAGAGGACATATTTCCCATTATTCATATACCTTGTGGGTTATTCTATTATTAACTAAGTCTGTAATTAAACCGAGAAACCAGTATTTATGAACTCAAAGCCGCATCTTCTTATGTAAGTGTTTTACAAGTAAATCAGCTGAGCTAGCCGCTGTATTAATGCGCGGGCGAAACCAAACTGCTTCAAGCCTAATAGAATCGTATACGAACCACAATATAGTACCGTAGACAACGGTATGAAAAGAACAACACAGTTCAACAGTTTCCAAATTCGTTTGATGGCGATTTTATTAACCACACCCCAGTAAAGATTAAGATTATTTTCAACGAGTAAAATCATATTCAATACTTAGTCGTAGATCGCAAATGTGTCGATCTAGCCAAGACTCGTGTCAGATGGTGACTGTTCCTGGACAGTCACAACATATATACCTGTCATTTTGTTTAACCTTAACTTAATAAAACAGTGAAAATTTGCAAGGAACAATAAAACACTCAGAATTGTGAACCTTTTATAAGAAGATGGAACACAATTATGAATGTTTCTCAACATTTTGCTGAAACTGAATTTGACCTAGTTTTGGCTCACGTCAGTGTTCTCTACATTTAGGGGTCCGAGTCCGGGTCGACAACAGTCAATGTCCAACGCCCAAACAGGAACAGAACCTGTTCTCGAAGACGAATTGTAACTCCGGATCTTCACTGGTAGCTAGAAAGTGATCGCACTTGCTCCTCGCTTGTTTGTATACTCAACAAAATTAGAAACTAGATACCCACAAAATTGGCGATAATTGTGAGGAGGGTTTTTCATTTTATTTCCTTCCGTCATAATAATGCCAATGGCAAGAAGAGCTGTTTGAAAGTATAGGTTGGGCGTCCGGACGTGAAACAGTTGGTAATAAATCGTAATCGTAAATTGTAACTTGGAAGCACCATACAGAGAGACTGCTAAACAGTAAAATGCATTGAATTCTAAATTTTAATCAAAAGGCGCCTCACAAATCTAGCTGAAGCATTCTGCTGAAGCAGTTGACTCAGAAGGAATATACAAACTGGGCTGTAGTTGGGATAGCAATCCATGGTTTGATGACAAATGTGGAACATGTTGAGGGGTAGAAGTGTCACGATAGACCTTGGTGAATTGATCAAGCACCGCAGTTGATGCAGAAGCTACCACGATGCATCTCAACGTTTACTCGATGTGTCCGCAGACACGCCAAAACTCAACCATCTGACAGTGACCCGGAAGTCCTCGATTTCCAATTGCGTTATATTAAATCAGTGTCCAGAGATTACGGGTGTGGCAGAAAAAGTGGGACCATCAATCAGAGATTTGTGTTCGTGAGATGGACAGAATCCTGGAGTGGTTCAGCACAATGGTTTGAAGGGAAATGCCTGCCAACAATTGGATTTGGAATTGCCGCCAAATCGTCCAGGGAAGCACCGCCGCGTTTCATGTCGGGACCAACTTTGATGCCAGTCCTTCTGCCATTCATGCATCTACGCTGGCCCTGGGCAGACATTTCAACTTGCGACGTAGTTCTTGTAATGCAGTTCTGAGGCGCAACGTGTTACGTAACGGTGGTGATTTCAGCTACCAATATCATTATGTGACCATGCTATTTGTTTCAGCAGATGTTCTCATGGATCTTTGCCCATGGCTTTTCAGGCACTAACGAATTAATGTTTTAACTTTAACAGGAAATCGGGGAGATTCAATGGTAATTCTTGGTAAGTTCAATTACAGAAACCAGTTCTGCTTTATTCTGTCACAACAAAACTAGACATACATCTAATTGCTGCTTAACATATATTCACTTTAATACAATATGTTACCACTATACACAACAAGGTGACTGCAAGAAGGAAATTAGAGTAAAGTGTCACTAACGCCTAAACTTCTGGGCTGTTTTAAAATGAGACATTAGTTTTCAGAGTAGGGACCATAAAGAGCTCAGTAAGAAATTACATGTTGCTTGGACAAGAAACAATATTTATCTTGCAGTTCTACGTGTTGACAAAGCGTGCAGCTGGCCACAGTTGACGAGCTTCCTGGCACGCAAGGGGGCTATGAGGTCAAGGTGACCCCAGTGTATTACTGCAGTGACTTTGCCCGGGAACTTGGTCTGAGACATGACTAGGATTTACAGGATGACGTCTCTCGCGGGTGATGAGGACTTACTTCTGGGCAAACAGGATATATCCTGTGAAAGGTATGCCTGGTAGAGATTTTGTGTGTTCCGTTTTGCACATCTATGGTTGGAGCATCACTAAATGCTCCTGCTGCATGATATGTGATACGCCGACGGTAGACATATCCCAAGATGTTGATATGGGATTTGGGTAAACACGGGCTGTCGTTCAAAGTAGCAAGAGTAGTCGATCCCCAAAGCTACCAAAGAACTGAAATACCTTCTGGCAGAAATATTTTATAGCACCTGCTCATCGTTCCTTGATTGCTTCTTAAATGATACTTCTACCTTGATGTAACATACGAGGATTGATGCCTTTCTTCTGTTTTATGATGCGTTTGACAGTAGAAGAGTACACACTACAGTCAAAGAGTATTATATATTTGATCAAACACAACAGATTAAAATTACAATAGCCTGGGTTAAATTATCAACCTACTCAATCTGCTTTGATAAGTTAGTGTCCAACTCCTATTCCAGAAAACATAACATACAGACATTTGTTTTTCTGTTTTTCGTATCTGTGTAGGGACTTGGAAGGGCATATAGTGAAAACATGTTAGAAACCTGACATGTCCACCGCTCCCCAGAGCTTTTCGTTCAAAGATTCATTCCAAGTTTGACAACAGCTGAGTATGACGAGAAGCTGAGACAAATGTTTGTGAGAGACATAAGCATCCTGAACGCACCAGGTCAACGGGCGGCATGTTTGTGAACTCTGTAAAGTCTTCCAGTGGAGTGCAAACCTTCTGCATGAAAAATCCTGTGTCCTTAGATTTCTAGGGTTTGTCTTTGAGTTTCTAATTTCCCACTAGAAATCTTTCCTCATCCCATGTACATGTTGTGCTATAAATGAAAACCAAAGTGGAGTAAAAGCTCATTTCACTTACTCTCGCTTACAGACTCGAAGTAGTACCATCTATGAAGATCCGGGTTAAAATTGATCTTCAGTAACCCATGCTTAATCGTAAGGAAGACTGACAGGATTGGGTGGTCAGGATCAATTGACTTGGTCGACACATGTCATCGGTTCCCAGTTGCGCAGATGTATAAAATTGATGCTGGATGCTGTTGATCACTGGATTGTCTGGTGCAGACATGATTATTTACAGACCGCCTCCATATAGCTGCAATATTGCTTTAGTACGGCTCTCGAGTTCATTGTTTAATTAGGTTACCATCGTTGCATTTAATTGTTGAATTCCTACACCTTTTTTGGATATAAACATAACTCAAAGGTGTGTAAATTGCCCAGTATACTATAGAGCAATGTAAAGCTGTACACTATGAATGTGCAAGCACATTGTGATTATCCCATAGCACCTCCATGGCACATTATGATTCCAGAATGCCATATACAAATGAGGAGTTTCCTAAACCAGTGAAAATAATTGCCTCTTACTGGTTTGCCTAAGGTGTGGAATAGTTTACAGTAATGTGATCGTATAAAACAAATATTACTCCTCACTATTGTTTGCTGAGAGATACTTCATGATGGTTATCGTTCTCAAAAACATTTTGAAAAGACTTCGTTCTCTCGCCGCCATTTCAGCTGAGTGCACTTCGTCTAGAAGTTGGCCCAAAAGGCCATGGAAGCTATAGCGGAAACCCTGCATGCACCTGATACCTTCGATATGGAAACTCTTCGAGATCCAGAGGCCTGACCACTACACTGGAGGATGGTATGAAAAAGATATAATTTCAAATGTATGTTAAACTGTAGCAAAATAGAAGATGGAAATATAATAGTTCTCTATCTACTGTTCAACTCTTAAAAAACAGATAAGAATTTAAGACACTTATGTCTAATGAATACGTAATGATATTCTCGCTGAACAAAGCACGGCATTCCTTTGCTTCTTTTCCGTGTAACAAGTTATCTTCTGTGGGATGTTCAGTTTTGGAGTTATTGACGACCAAAATAAAACCGTGCAACATGAAAATGAACTTCTTGAGAATTGACGAAGCTACTCTGCAATGGATGGAAATAAACGGGCACCCGATATCAACATTTTCATACATCTTCATACAGTACAATTGTCGAGCGTAGCATTTCCACAATTCTCTTGCTTCCATTTGCCTTCTTTTGTACCATATTAGATTGGCACTACCTTACCGCAGCCTCCATAACTGTTATTAATGTGTTTCCCTGGAAATTGAAACGATGGCGTTACTTCTGACAATATTTCTTGGCTCAGTATGTGGGCCATTATCACTGGGATAGTGCAGTGGGGAAAACAAAGCACATCATCATCTTAACTTGTTGGCATTTAGAAGTTGGATAATTGCTAAGGGTGGATAACAGTATATGGATGAGTGGTAGTGAGTTGAGCTTTACGGCTCTCAGCAATTTTCAAGCTATATGGCAGTGGTCTGTCAGCCTATCGAGTCCTGAATTAGATAATCCAGTGATCAATAGCATGAGCATTGATCTGCGCAATTAGGAACTGATGATATGTGCCAACCAAGTCAGTAGAGCCTGACCACCCGATCCCCTTTAAATATATTGATGAACTATGTAATA